AAACTGGAGCGACCTGGCGAACGAGCGTGCCCGACATCCGAGCCACGTGGAAGCAGCTCGTCTTTCCGGCGCATTGTCTGGCGGCGGGGGTGCTGTTACTCCTGCGAGTCCACACCGAACGTCAATGCCTCTGCAAAAGGATATCTGTGTCAAGGCCGGCAATCGAGCCCGCCTGACGCGATCAACTCAACGACGTCATCAAGCGGCGGCGCCGGTCTGTCACGCAATGCACCGCGAGCTCTCTTAGCTCACGAGCCCGTTGAAGCTAGTTATCGGCGCCTTCCAGTCTGGCGAGTCTTATGCAATGCGTGGCAACATTCCTCGTCCTTGGTGCAACCACGCGCAGCGGCGGGCCCCATTGGAGGATTCCGTCATCACGGCCAGCGGCGCTTCTGGTTGGATATTTGATTACTCAAAGGATCCACCCGGTACCTATAAAAAAACTGTGGCGCGTCGCCAGCAGTAGACCTATATGTCGGAGAAGAGAGCTCGGCTCTTCGAGGCTCTAAGCTGTCGGCCCCAGTGCCGAATTTGTAACGCCTCTATTCCTTTGCTGTACATAAGCTTTGCCTTAACTCACCGTCGTCTCGTCCGCTCGTCCATCAGCTCTGCACAGAAGCAGTCGCAAGCTGAATAGTACACGCTACCAAACGGCTAGTGACCGTGTCGGTGGAGTTCGGAGCAGTGGCGCCTTCGGGACCGTGTTGGCGTCTCGTCTTCGTAACACGCCGCAAGCCGCCGTCGCTCAATGCTAGACCAGCTACACTGCACAACACGTAACCATGGCAACTCCGCCAGTGTTCCCAGTGAATATGGCCGCCATGGCGTCATTTGCGCCCTACTTTTCACGTAGCACGCTGGCTGGGCATGCCCCCTCCTCTCATTTCTTCCTCCGTGGCTTAAAGGGAGGTCTTTGGCTGCCGTCAACTAAAAATATGCTGTACGAACAATAAGAGACCAGAACAAGTCCTCTAAATGTAAGGATGTATTGATTTCTTCTTAAGGTGTCGCTATGTGCCTTGATTTAGCATTAAAAACGCAGTATTAATTTCAACTAGGGACTCAACACGGTAAAACAACATGTTTTGAGTTAGGGTTATAGCTGAATAAATGATTTCACGTTTCTCAAGATCTGGTTATCATTGTTTTGGTTACCGGTTCAGAGTTTTCGCGGCACTCATATATTGCGAATTCAGTAGAGCGTTGCTTTGGTTATCGGGACATCACCCGAACTTTAGAAATTTTGATACAATTGGAACTGAACTTTTATTTTTTGATTTCAGTCATGACTAGATGCGCGCATGCAAGTTAATCGTGACTTTAAAAAAAAACGAGACTGGCCCTAGCTCTTGACATACATGCTTTTAATTCTCGGAATAGCTACGTTTAATTGTTCGTTTTGTACGCATCTGAGCATTTATTTTTCTTGAACATTGAAAAAGCAGTTGTGGCTGTCCTCCTTCGGGCATGGCCATGTATGATATCGGTCGTCCTGCTAGAAGGGTGAATTTTGCATTAGAGCAAGGCACAAGCCTAATGTTGAATTCTGTATTAAAATCCTGATGGGTCACCGCCGAGCATTTTTGTCGTATTATAGTGAAGTCCCTAATTGAAATTACTTCTGCGTTCTTGGATGTTGAATCAAAGCGCATAGCGACACACTGAGAAGCCATTTTTTGTTCACGTCTCTATGTCCACACAGTATCGTCTTACTTAAGGCAGCCGTGGGAGTCGTCATCTTCATGACGATGTAACCATTGGAGGTACTTTTCTCTCACAGTTTGTCGGTCAGAAGGCTCGTGCATTGTTGCATCGCACCTCCGGCCACAAGCGAAACACGACTACGCACGCCGCAATCACTGCATGCACGGCGTGAACGAATGGCGTTTACGCCACCCTTGTAGTCTTGCACAGTTGGAACACAACTAGTATTAGGCGGCTTGCCATGGGGTATTCACTCTTCTTTTTTTTGAAAGAAATACCTGCATCTCTTTCCATTATAACTTAGTCGCAATAAAAATTGCGCCATGACCTCAATTCGAACGAAACAATTCGGGCTAGACAAAATAGGGAATCGCAAAATCAAAACAAGAAAATTGCCTTGCCATTTTAGAGGAAAAAGGGGGCCTGAAATGATTAAATTTCGCCATAGCCGAACATCTGTTGCGCACAGTAATCCAAAACTGGCGCCAGTGAAACCGAAACGGGAAGCGCAGGCCCGTTGCTCTCACCAACCACCAGGTGTGTCATGGTTGATTGGGCCGCAGGGCCCTACGGCAGTGTCCGCTCTTCACGTAAGTCGCTGTCTGAACCGTTCATCAGCGCGCATTCGCGCTAGCTACGCAAGAATGAGCTCCGCTTCTGCCAACAGTGGTGCTTCGTCGTTGGTACTAGTAGCAGCAAGCACAGTACCTTCAGCGATTTGCGCACAGAGGGACTCACACATAGTGCAGCGGAGGGCGTGGCTGTGGACGCTGTGGTCCGCAGCTGCTACTTTACATTAGCTACAGCTCATGCCTGAATTAAAGCGAAAGATTTCATGTGATATTACTTTGCTACGTATCATTACATCATAGGTATTAGCATATTTTGCAGAAAACGGCAGCTAAAGCGGCTGGCTGGGCGCTCTAGACAAGTGTCACTTCGTCTGTACAACCCATCAGCAGCTTTAGCTCGAACACTCCGACGCGTGGCCTCTGCTTGTTTGACTAGAGTTACTGTATCTACAGTAACTCTACGCTTGAACTGAGGTGAGCGCCACCAAGCGTTGAAAATGATACGCTTGCTGCAGCAAACGATAGATGGAACGCGCGTCGGTTTCACTAGTAAATTTCTGTTTCCAGTCTGCCGGACCGGTGGGTCAAATGCACCAAATGGGCATCCCGTTTTCACCCCGTTTCGCTCGTGATTACGTTATCGCGCTCGCCCATGGCGTTCATTGTCGTATACTTATCTCGACTATGAACCATTGCGTGCGAAAGCTTGCCCACCTTTAGAGTTTGAATTCTCGGCGGCTGCTAAAAAGAAATCACATGTATAAAAGCAGAGGAAACGAGGCGAGTAATTTTCAATTTGCCAAATAAAGCAAAACATTTCTATCAATAATGAATGCTTGTTCAATAGCACTGAACAATTGTGTTCGTTTTCTTTCTTTGGTTAATGTGGAAGTTGTGACAACCATTACTCTAAATGCAACGCACTCCTGTAGCTTTAAAGCAGCGTTTAAATTGTCTACGTATAGTGCACAAACTTGGTAAAAAGTGAAGAAAGGAATGGATGGTGGGATCTATACCATTTCACTCATAGCAGACGATAGTACGAATACTAAAAGTTCCTTCTAGCTTTATTCCTCCCGGTAAAAGTGGATACAGAGAAAAGCTGAAAACGGAACTTCAGATTTTTTTCCCACTGACCACAATGAAATTTTCCACACAAGTTGTCTTCGGGATAATGGAATGAAAGAAAAACGCAGACCAAGGTGAGATGCACAAAAAATTTTAAACCCGTTTCGGCTGCCGTGCAGGAGCGGAAACAAGTGCCGAAACAGTGTTTTTTTTTTTTTGTGCCTTTACCTCGGTCGGAGTTTTTCTTTTGTTCCATCATGTTGCATGGTCCCCGACCAGAAGCGATTCCGCCGGAATATTGACTATATATCTTCGGCATTCTGATGCTAGGTGCCAGACGATGGGACAGCGAGTTCACCTCAAAACGATATTTAAAATTGGGCAGCCAATGACAGAAACATGCCTTTGAGCGCAGCCAGCTTGTGTTTGTTACGTTTGTCTTTTACCCCGCTTCGAGAGGTGGTGAGTCACAAGCACCCGCCGATCCTTCCACGCCCAAATATATAGTCGCCGAGGTCAGCGCTGTCCGAAAAGCGGGCATGCACAGCTCGATGTAGCGTCGGACGACATCGTCAGCTTCTGTTTTTAGGTCGTGCATGAGAAAACACGCTATATTTCTTGCAGCACTTAAAGAAGCACGGCGCAGCGTCGAGGCGTGGGGGGGGGGGGGGGGGGCTACGTCAAACCCCGTGATTTCTGCTCCGATTGCGCGTTTACTTTATTTATTTTCGCGCATGCGCAATTGCCTCCATTTGCCGAGTTACTGCCGCTTGAATGCGACTCCACAAATACTGCCACTTTGAGGGCAAATTAAGAGATAGAAAAAAAAAAACAGGAAACCACGAAGTGTCGCAAACGAGGCGTTCTTGAGACAAGAACAACGTGGGTAGGCGGTGAAAACGTTCACCTACTAATTACATTAACTGATTGATTGATTGATATGTGGGGTTTAACGTCCCAAAACCACTATATGATTATGAGAGACGCCGTAGTGGAGGGCTCCGGAAATTTAGACCACCTGGGGTTCTTTAACGTGCACCCAAACCTGAGCACACGGGCCTACAACATTTCCGCCTCCATCGGAAATGCAGCCGCCGCAGCCGGGATTTGAACCCGCGCCCTGTGGGTTAGCAGCCGAGTATTTTAGCCACTAGACCACCACGGCGGGGCTACATTAACTGCCACGGGTGTCTGCACGTTCCACAAGCAAACACGAGCCCATCTCATTCTTTGGCCCCGAACATTTGATTTACCAATGCTAGGGTCAATAAGTAGCGGGCAAACTTCTTTTACAAGCTGACACAAATTCCCCATTAGTTAAAACGCCATGCTGCTATGAGGCCAAGGCGATCAGCCCCGTAAATAGTGAATCTGACCATGACATAGCGGTTAATATTATCTTGCCTGCATAACGAGCAAGTTTTGATACCCAATATTGGCAGAACTGGAAGTGGTCCCAGACATCGCCTAATAAATAAAACGTTGAAACTTATGAAGTTCGTAATCGAGTTCGTTAGCAACAGCAAGAAAAAAAAAAGTAAGCACTGCGCACTCCAAAGTATCGGTCCGAAAACCACCTACAGCTCGGACCAATACAGTTCAGCGCAAGACGAACCAATTAAGGTTAAAAAAAATTACAAAAAAATTGAACACAAGTAAAATATGGCCATAACTTTAATTCAGTCCAGCTGCAGCAGCCGCTTCTCTCTTCCTTTTTTGTTTGTTTGTTTTTACAGTGTTTGAAAAGAGCAGCGCGGGAAGGACGGACCTTTCAAAGGACTCCGTTCTGTACAGTTCCACGAAAACCTGTTCAGCGCAGGCAATGGCCACTGTGATTGCTTTGTACGTAGCGTGGCGTGCACGGTTATATAAAAAAAGGGGAGAAGTCATTGGGTATAATGGTGGGAAAGAAATGATTTGTTTCGTAAGGTGGGAACAAATATTTTAAAAATTATATATATGTATATCTCGGGCTCACGGCATAGCTGCTAGATCATTTGTGTTCTTGAGACGAAACGCATGTCTGAGCACCACTTTACGTCACCGGTTAACAGACACCACACTCGGAAGAGTCCATTGCAGGCACGCCCTGTTTCACAGTCACGCACGCAGAGTCGTCGTCCCGTGCCCACTAATGTCCTGTGGACGCCATCCGCACTGTCAACGCTTGCCCCCTGCCATCCTGTGCTGCACCGGGAGAACTGTGCAAGGGAGGGACATCTTCGTTCACGTGGGACGACGCCGTCGTGTCTTAGTCCTGGCCCATATCTTTGTACGTTGTCGGCACTACGTTGAGCATCAACTGTAGAAGAATCGTGAATTTTCCTGAAAACAGAATTTTAAAAATTTGCGGTTAACGTCACTTAAGAAGTGCAGTATTTTGAACTGAGGCAGGTGGGAAGCGAAAATAGCAGTAGAGGGCAATTGAAATAGAGCGACCCTGTTTTATAAAAAAAATCTTTAAAATGAAATAAAATTGGTGTTGCGTCATAGCAACATAAGGCTAGCGATACATGCGCCGAACGTCAAATGTGAAAAGAACAAGATAAAAAAACACAACACATTGAAGGCATTATCACAGAAACTAATGGTGGTATACAGTGTCTCAGCCACAGCACTTGGATACAGAAATCACCGAGCAGCTGAGCTGCGCATATTAACTCCAGGGTGTGTGCAAATGAGAACGTTGGTGTCAGACGACGCCCTGTCATTTTCATTTCGCTTTTCACACACACACACACACACACACACACACACACACACACACACACACACACACACACACACACACGCGCGCGCGCGCGCGGGATTGTTGGTCAGTTGCCAGCTGGTAAGAATTTCACGTGCTACGTGACGCCACACAGGCTCATAAAGAGTGTGCCACACTCGCCGCCATGGCTACTGGTGGCGTTGACTGACCCTCCCACGTTTAAATTCACATATATACCCAATAAAGTGGCTCGGAGGATAGCCGCCGTGGTAGCTTAGAGCATCGAACGCGTTATTCGAAGGTGGCAGGTTCAGTTCCTGCCCACGACAAGTTATCTTTCTTCACAATCACATTAATATATATATATATATATATATATATATATATATATATATATATATATATATATATATATATATATTACTATATGGAAATAAGTGTATACCTAAGGGCTCGTTTTCCCGTGTTTTGACACCATAATAATGAGATCTAAGAGACAATAATGCCAAGGAATGTATAGGGGAAAATATTAGAACCAATGTAGTGTAAACAAGAAGAAAGAAAAGTGTGTAAACTATTAACTTCCCGTGAGCAGGAATCGAACCTACGACCTCCGAATAACGCGTTCGATGCTCTAATCACTGAGCTATCATGGCGGCCATCCCCCAGCCACTCTATTGGGTTTATATGTGAATTTAAACGGGGGAGTGTCAATCAGCGCCATATATATATATATATATATATATATATATATATATATATATATATATATATATATATATATATATATATATATATATATATATATATATGCGTGTGTGCGTGTCTGTGTGAGTCTGAAGCCAGAATCGCTTTTACCAAAATTACGCGAAAACGGGATTTTCGCGCATTTTGTCCCATCTATTCCACAAAGGCGAAGCACTGAATGTGATAGCAGTGAACTGGAATGTCACGCAAAGAATGGCAAGCAGATCGAAGCGTGCCCCACGTTGCTAACGCACAAATGACGCACGAAACGTACTCACAGGTAGAGGCGAATGCGAATAAGTGTTTCAGTTTTTACTTTGCTGTGTCTGAAAAGCACACCCTTTTCGCAAACGGAGACTGTGCAGCGAGTGCAGTGACCTTTGTGTGGCCGGTAACTACAAGAAAACCGTTTTGATGTAAGCCCAATGTATGTGATTCTCCGCACCACGGAATAAGCGCGCGCGCGCGTTAGCGTCTCCCCCCCCCCCCCCCCCAATCGCGGGTAAAAAAACACGGAGAATATGAACGCATGACCACGCGTCACCGCGTCGTGACGACTTGGCGACGCGCGCTTATTGCGCCATCTTGCAGGTAATGCTGAAAACTCGATAGTTTCCCTGAGTTCGGCATCACAAGCGGTAAGTGGTAGATATAAATAGCTTGCCGTTTGAAAGTTAAAGGACGTGTACTTTTGTGGCAGTGGCTAACGCCTCGCACTCACGATTCAGATGTCCCATGTTTGATTCCGCGCGCCGGAGTATTTTTCTGAATTATGTTTTTTCTTGTGTTCTTGTATATAGAGATACATACACATATACGGTGAATGACGGCGGTCGCAAATGCCAGCAGCAAGATCCAGTCGAGAGTGTCTATACAATTGCTATCGCAATAAATGAACATGTTGCAAGATTTCGGTGAGGTTGGAGTTAGACCCCAAAATAGCCCAACTGACGTCAACGAGCATGTAGGTATAGTTGCCATCGTTAGGATTCTCAGGTCGGAAATATGTTAGAGCGCTTTCAGGACGACAGAATACAATAGAAAACAGCAGGAAAAGACAATACGAGGCACTCGTCTTATATTTTGTCGCCTTCATCTGTGGTCATGTGGACTGAAATTTTCGTAATAATTGTAATAATAATAATTTTAGGGTTTAACATCTCAAATTTTCAATACCATTATCGAATTTAAGCAACATACCTTTACTTATTCATTTTGGTTTACGTATGACCTCATTCTGGAGAATTATATGTGGCACAATTGTTAACCTAATATGTGGCAACGTTCTACAAAGTTTCGATAATTCTGACTATTATGACGCGGTGCAAAAAAAAAAAACGCGGTATTATAGACGCGGTGCCCATACGTTGTCCAGTGCAGCTAAAGCTTTGGCAGAGAAGGGTTGATTTTACGTAGAGAAACATATTTTTTACACATTGCGTGCGATTCTGCAGGCCCCATGAAGAACGCCACTATTGTTTACCTGATTAAGAAGCAATACCGGCACTTGTTATTGCCTACACGTGCGCGCATGCGCACTACAACAATCAATAAATGCAAAATAACATAGCCGCTGGGCTGCCGACTTTCATTAAAAGGACGCTAAAGTGAAACACCAATTTACGTGAGAGTGACAACTCTCACGTAAATCTCTCACGTGGTGGACAATACGACAACTTCTAAAACGACAATATTATTCACAGAAATACCCTACTTACTGAGATATTAATGTAAATGCACGAGAACACATGCGCTGCGATACAGACATTCGCAAAATGATTCCGATAACGTCAGAGTTACAACCAAAAACTAATCACTAGTAATCGACTTAGCTGCACTAAATAAAGAACCTTCCGTGTATCAAGAGACGTAATAAAATGCTGCTCGTTCGTTACTGTTTGATTGATGGAAAAAATAACCGCCGGACGTTACTATGGGGATTGCGCGAGTGCTTCAAATTTCAATTTTCGCATGCACTCTCAAACAAAAAAAAAAAGCCAAAAGAAGATTTCCACGCGCTGATTCTCTTCGGGCACTCGCTTGACCCCTCTTAGAAGGTAGACGCAAAGAGAGAGGGAGAGTAGCCATTTAAAAGGGAGTCATGGAACTCTGGAAGAGCGCGTTTCGAGTCGAATGCGCCACCGTATGGATTATATGCAAAATTGCTGCCATCTGTCAGCCGTCATGTGCATACCGCCATGTTAGAGGCACAGCGCAGTACACACGGTCAGCGTGTGTTTACGTATACTTCGGACGTGTATTCAGTGATAATTGCAATGCCCACGTATTGCTGCGTTCCTTGCTGCACACAGAGAGGAACTCGAACTGCTGAAGAAAAAAAAAGGTTAGCCGGAAATTTCGGCCCTTGTCATTTTTTCAAGCTCATGACGTTTCCAGCATGTACTTCGGCTACTGCTCCCAAAACACGTGTTTGCGTTCTCCTTTACAAGCAAGACGTGAAATAGCATTTGTACTCGTGTTTGCTCAAATTGCTGCGCACCGAAGCAAGGCAGTTTTTGCGACGTTTCCGCTATCAGCCGTTTAACAAGTGAAGGCGACTTCTACGCTTCACGCAGAAGCCACGTTCACGCAACGGGCTTTATCGCAGCTAATTGCAGTTCAACGCACATTTAGCGAGAGATGGATGGAGAATGCAACTGCAAAAACAAGAATCACCGAAACTATTCGTGCTGGATGGAAGAGGCTTCGTACCACTGATCGTAAGGTACATTGCTCGTGTACGCATGCAATTCATTGCTTCACCAACATGTGTATGCCTAAATTCACCCATTTAGGTGTTACAGAACGCACGTCGAAGCGCTTGCCCTGAACTCGATGTCATGCGATGCTCGCTTGCACTTCAATTGCCGGTTGCAGCACTCCGAAATAACTGAAACATCGCATGTCGCTTTGACGAGCTTCCTAATTTTCTTCAGCGGGGTTGGATTGACGAAAGAAGCTTGTCAGGTCCTTGATTTTTCGGAAACCTCGTCTCAACACCCACAAAACAGAAGGGCCTATGGACGTTCGCTTGCGAACGGCTCTCTTTGCACTACCCAGTTATGGCCAGCGCGGTGATGAGGGTGCTGGTGGCGGTGTTTCTTGCAGCGCCGCCTGGCAGAGTCTGACGTCTATACACCAAACATGTCTTGGCGTGTTCCCTGATCACTCCGGCTAGAGTTGCCCCGGCAACGGTCGGGGTAGCCGCGGGGGGGGGGGGGGGGGGAAGGGTGACGTGTCGCGACCTGTGTGGCCTAGTTCGGCCACAGCTGCCACGCCATCGCCAGTACCTCCTCCTTCTCTATTTCAGCCTCATCCGTCTGTCGAATATGTTAGGTTGGTAGTGGGTCTTGGTAGCTCTGACTTCGGGCAAACATGCACATCTTCGGTGGTGGTGGTAACGCATGGCTCCATGCTCAAAGGGACGCTAGGATTAAGGAATGTTCATGGAGCTGTGGACATGGACAATGTGCGCCTTTTAACGGTGAGTGTACTGTTTTCGTAGGTACTACACAGCGCTAGCTGCACGTCTGCATCAGCTCTGCGAAAGTAGGCTGCCAGCCATTCCCAACAGTAGCACGAGTTAGTGGGGTTGTTGCAGATGTCCAAATAAACTGTCAATTAACGAGTTAACAGTGCTATGCGTGTTGGTATGTAAGCGATTGCACAACTCATATAACTTGATGAGTGATGCGATCACTTATCAAGAGTGATTAGTTGTTTATCGCACATTGTCTCTGCAGTACTGAAATTTCAGGGCTTGATATCATTTTAAGACGTGTTTCAGGCTACGTCGTAATGACATTTTTATCGATAATCGAGTGTGCATTATGCTTCGGCGGGTGGAAGCGGGTGGAATCGAACGATGATCGATGCCCAATTGGTCACCATCATTGAAGGCCAACTCCGGCGATTTTTTGACGACGTCAGGATAATGGTGCTTTTATGTTCCTTAGACACTCCTCCCACGTGCCCGATAGCTGAAATGCCTAAAAAACTTGATAATAACTTTAATTACCGAAAAACCAGAATACCGAAACCTAAACCCAACAGAGTGCGCTTCTACGCGTGGCGTAATAATTTGCCTGACGCTGCCGGAACCTGCCTTATTGCACATAATGCCCGCCAGATGGCATTACATGTCTACGCTGTCCGCGGCGGTCGGCTAAAACGCTTACGCTGTTATGGTGAATATATGGCGAATCGTGTGTGGCTCACAACGCAACACGACCTGGCACCTAGGCTATCACACGCCAACCAACACGGAAAAAGAAATCACACGCTCAACCAAGAAAGCTCCGGCCAAACCCACGCATCCATAGCAGACACGGAGGAAGGAAAGATAGGAGAGGGCATGCCCAGCCGGCGCACTACGTGAAAAGTGTGGAGGAAATTACATCATGGCGGCCATATTCACTGGGCACAATGGCGGCGTTGATATGGTTACGCATGGAGGAAGGTGGTTACGTGTTGCGCAGTGTCGCTGGTCTTGCAGTGAGCGGCCGCGGCTAGCGGTGGCATGTGCGCCTCGGAAGTTCTCGTGCTGAGCCGTGGTGGACAATAACCATGCTCTGCGCCGCTCTATTGGTTACGCAGTGTTCTCCTGACAGCTGCTGTACTTCTGGCAACGCTTACTAAAACCTTTTGTCCGTCACGGATCCTCAACAGTGCGTGAAACGAGTGCATATATCCATGTGTCGTGCGGCGGATGACGCGGATGAAGCATTTCAAGTGTTCAGCGAAATTGCGTTGGGGACCATGACGAAACGGAACGATGACGAACACCGTGCAGGTCAGTGACAGTTGTGCGGTGCTCCTGCTTGTAACAACGGACGAAACTGTTGTGCCCAGCAAGACGAAAAGAGGACCATGTGCACATACGTAGTTTCGTGTTCGGTATGTGTACAGTAAGAACTTGCATGTGCATATTAAAACACCTTTTCTATCCCACCTTGTTATTTTCGCCCCCAGCATTGTAATCTCAACGTTAGAGCAACTGCGTTCAAGTGTCACTTGCACCGTGCTCAAAGTCACCAAGGTCGCAGAATGCTGACGCCAGTGAGTTTCACGTGGAACACGGACACAGTGGCCGGGTGCCGCGTCGGCCGCGTGTCGGAATGCACCCGTAGAATAAGGCACATGACTGATCGCATTGTCTGTACAGTGCGTGAATTAGCGACGTGAAAACTTTTCCCGTTGTCAGTGCATCTAGCGCGTTGTCTTGTGCTTGCTTCGTTGTCGCCGAGCTGTTACTCGCTGTTAATACTCGGACAAAATGACTTCGCCGAAGGTGCCGCGCTGGCCCAGAGTGTTAAGACCCGTTCCGTTGGTTTGGAATCGTCATGACACGCGCGCAGCGCAGCCAACGTGCTTTCCGAGCCAGAGAGAGTGTCGTGCGTTCTGTTTTACATTCGGATGTAAACAAGAGAGGAGAATTTGCCCAATTAATATGGCCAACTTCCGGCTTCACCACGGCTTCACAACGAGTGACATCAGGGTCTCTCCTCAGTTGTTTCCTTCCTCCATGATAGAAGACAAGCAGACGCTACAGTGGAACATCAGTTCGTCACTTCTGCCAAGCAAAACTCAACGTCACACACACAATGTTGTCATTAATTCTAGCAAGCGAGGTGAGCGTTTCGAGGCAAGCTATACAATTGATTTGAACAGAATCTGTGAAACTCTCAAGCCTGCAATTTGGCATGGATGGCGCAAACGTGCAAATGAATGTACCCAGTGAATTTCATTGAGATCCACTGACCTCGAAAAATCGCCGGAATTGGCCTTTAATTGTTAACGTCATCAGATCTCTCATAGCTGGTCGTCGAACGCCAGCAGCGTTAGCCGCACAACAGCTTTTGGAGGCTCTCGTTCTATTTCTTGACAGTCTTCAGTAAAAGCACCATGAACACCCGTTGCATGCTCCGTACATACGTGCTGCAATGGAACGCCAGGTCTCTACGACCACGCCATGCTGACCTCATTCTTAGGCTCCTTGCAATGAATAATCCGCCGGATGTTATAGCTCTCGAAGAAACCAATGTAAGAAATGATGAGCTGAGACTTCAGGGTTACGTAGGCATTCACAGCAATGTCCGATGCACGGTGATGGCATGGGCATCTTTCCGGTGTACAGGCATCACGCACCCACGGAATGCTTCGAAAGCGTCATTGTACATACAATCTCATGTTCATTTCCCAGTGATTGACGCAAGTGAACTCTGCGGACCTGGCCACCCGTTTATAGGCAGATTTTTTTATTTTGATTTTTTTGCTTATACTTGTCTAAGTCTTCGTCCTTTTTTCTTTACTTCCCTCTGTTCTTTCCTCTTTCTCCCCTCTTAGCTCCGTTTGCTCTGTTTCTTCCCTCCTCCCGAAAGAGTGAGCAGGCGTTGTGCCCCTCCACGTGGCAGTTGCCAGCTTGCTCTATCCCCCTTTCCTCTGTGTTCTTGTGTAAATGTGTATGCAATTCAAATAATGAATAAGAATTAATAATAAAAAGAAAACAAACACCTGTGTACCAAGACACACTGTATAAAATGTCTTTTGCTGGCTTAAAGACGGTAGTTTGAGGTGCAGATACAATGTGATGCTCCCAGCACGTACGCTGTAGTCTTTCAAAATGTTTAGGACATGCCTCACAAGTAATAGGAAAAGCTTTAGACTTTCTACGGCGCATTTCTTGCGGCCGCCGCCGTGCGCTGTTTTCTCTCGTTGCTGTTTTCGTGCTTTGCTTACATCTGCGATGATGCTCGGCGTTATAACAGAACCGAGTGAGTATAAGTGACTGTGGGAGCTATGGTGGTAGCTCTAGCATAAGCCGTGGCTGATGTCAGGGTAGACCGTGTCTGCGCGCGTTGTTCTTGTTCGAGCGCTTGTACTCGCATGTGTTTAGTGGAGTTTTGAAGGACAGGTTACTCGTGTAAATTCCGCCGTCAATAATAATTCACGGCGTTCCCCTGACTACTAGAGGATGAGCTTGGTTCCAAAATCGGTACATGCAGTTGGCCCAATTTTTCGGGAGTTAGCTGACGTTCATGTCACCTGGGAGTGGCAACACAAAACTCCACAGGTGGCGCGACAATCTGCTCACTCCTGACAGGGGGGTGGGGGGAGGGATGACGCATCTGGATTTTGATACATGGAGCCTATGGGGAGTTTCGCAACTCATATGAGTGAATAAGTCTGCCTACGACAATGTGCTTTCTTGGTCATTTGGTTAGTAGCATCTGCACCTAAATTGGTATGGCATAACGTGTTTGAATGACGATTACAAATGGAATTGGAGCATTATGGAATAGGTTGTCACACTTCGGAATTTTCCCTTGAAGTAAAAGCCTAAAACAGGCAAGTTCACACTTTTAAACTCATGGTATTCACAGTATATCAAAAATAACCTGAAGCCAACAGCTACAGTAGTTTCTATGTATAAGATCTCGTCCAAATCACACTTTCACGGTATTTACAAAGATCATTTCCGGCTCAACGTATATTTTTCCAGCGATACTAAATGGGGTCGGTGTACATGCATTGGTCTGACGGCGGCCTTGCAAAACTTGCGTGCGACCGCTTCGCACACTCATACTCACGCATTATGCCAAGCCTAAGCCTGTAGTGGACGAATGGCACGTAGAAAAGGAGTCCCGAGACGATGAACAGGCAGGCGTAGACGTACTCCACCTGTGGGTTCTGGATTATGGGTGCCGCTACCAGGTATATGGACAGTACCAACACGATCCAAGGAATAATGATAGGAACCTGCGGAAGACATTTCATGCAATTACAGCTATGAGACACAGTCCAGGCACATGCCATCTTGACATTTGTCCCGTAATTACCAAGTGCTTCGAGCACACCATTGATATTCAGAAGTAGCATTATGTTCAAATCGACTGGGAACTACTACTACACGACTACTGATCGCATTATGCTCCAAGCACATTATGCTCGGGGTTGTCGAATTTTTTAACTCCACGTCAACTTGGTGACTCTTTTAGGGCGACGGAAAATATGTCTTGGTCACTTAGCCACTTTCTTGTTCTCTCGATTCAAACAATATGTTCAATATTTCATGATGTAGCAGCCGCTTGGGTATACAAAAACGTGGTAGCTAAGCCTAGCCCGGCAATAAAGAAAGCCTTTTCGATGCGTCACTGGGACTCGGCGAGCTTGGCAGACTACTTATTGTTTATCGCGACTTCAAATAGTGATCAAAAGTTCTCTGCATCTTTGACGCTCCGCTCTCATCGACATTAGAAATCCGGCAGCCTGCCCGTCTTATTTCTTAGGATTTAGCATAAACTGAGACTCAGACTTCGTCAACACGCAAGAATTGTGAAAATAACTACATTTTGCTTCAATGGCATTATCCCAGCAATTGTGACCTTCAGAAAAATCATGCCGTACTCATCTTTATTGTCGCCACAGGGTTGTCACTTCTAGTCCTCCTAGGTAACGTCACGCAAGACGCTTGATGAGAGTGTCACTTTACGATAGAGTTCATAGCGTTTGCGTTGATTCGGTGCGTATGCTAATTTAAAAATATAACGCGCGTTTCCAGGTTGTTAGAGCATCACGCAAGCGCAGTAACACCGAATCGCACAGCAACTATCTGCGCACCCTATTTTAAAACGACCAAAGAAGCCCTGCAATTCGTAGAGCAGACCACGGCGATCACGTTTTCCAAATATTACAGCGCTGGGCGCTTCGCAGAGTCTCCATTTAAAAAAAAAAAGAACGATTCCCGCGCTCCTTTCCCACGCTTGACCAATAACTCTTTGAAATGCGCAGTGACGCAAAGTCGCCAATCGGCCACTTGACGTAGCACGTGGCTCGTCCATTGGTCTAGACCAGTCACGACGACAGGTTACGCCTTCCCCTCCCTGTGAGGGAGAAGGGTGGCGCGTGAAAGTTTGAAACCAGCTGATACCGATGTTATAACCCACGGTAACGTGCTTAATATAGCATAAATTCGCAAAATTATTGCGGCAGCAAGTTGACAAAGGAAAAGTGCACATATTTTTCTTTATAACAGTTTTTGAACATCAGGGTCGTTTGCTGGTTTTAAAGTCAGTGATATATGCTTTGATGTCAGCAATTATGATTATGAAGTTAACGCATTATTTATTCGAATTTTCGCCAAAGGAGTTTTGCCTCCAGTGAAGTAAATAAAAAAACGTCGCCATTTTTTTCATGCCCGGCCCATGTCCACTTCTTCTTCTCGATTTCAACTATATCCTTAACCCCGGCTTGTTTCCTGACCCATTCTACTCTCTTCTTGTCACTTAAAGCTACACCTATATCATTTTCCTTTCCATCGCTCGCTGCGTCGTCCTCTATTGAAGCGGAACTCTTTTTGTAAGCCTCCAGGTTTTTGCTCCGCATAGGTAAGTACAGGCAAGCTGAAGCTGGTATGTCTACCTTCTTCTTGGCGGTTAGTGGCAGATTACCATTTTTGATTTAAGACTACTTGCCGAATTTAATCGACCCCATCCTTATTCTAGTTATTTCACTCTCATGATTCGGCTCCGTGGTTACTATACCTGCCTTAAGTATAGACGTATTCCTTTACATCTTCCATCGCCTCTCCACCTATCGTGAAGTGCTGTTTTCTGCTGAAACTGTTGCACATTACTTTATTTTTGGCCTTACTAATATTCAGGCCTAATTTCCTGCTCTCCGTGTCCAGTTCAGTAATCATGAGCTGTAATCCGACCCCTGAGTTACTCATTAGGGCAATGCCATCAGCGAATCACAGCTTGCTAAGATACTTTCTATTAACTCTTATTCCTAACTCTTCTCTATATGGGATCCTTAAAACCTCCAGTAAACACACGGTGAGTAGAATTGGAGAGATCATGTTTCCCGGCTTTACACCCTTCTTTACTGCGATTTCGTCACTTTCTTTATGAAGAACTATGGTGGCTGTAGATCCCCTGTAGATTTCTTTGAGAATGTTCATGTAAGGTTCGTCGATGCCCTGATTTCCGTAGTGTCGGCATTACTGATGACGTCTTGACAGAGTCGAACACCATTTTGTAATCTATGAAAGCATGTATAGGGGTTGGGTGTATACCACGCATTTCTCTATTACCTGATTGATAGTATTGCGGAGTAGCCTGTACGAAATCCTGCTTGGTTCAATGGTTGATTGAACACTAATGTCACCTTGCCTTAATTCTATTAGGTATTATTTTTGTAAATAGTTTGTATGGAACTTAACCGACAGTAAGCTGATCGGCCTGCAATTTTTCAAGTCCTTGATTTCTCCTTCTTATGGATTAAAATGATGTTTGTGTTCTTCCAAGATTCTGGTACCCTTCCCACCCCACTGCGGTGGTATAGTGGCTAAGGTACTCGGCTGATGATCCGCATATCGCGGGATCGAATCCCGACTGTGGCCGCTGCATTGCCGATGGAGGCGGAAATGTTGTAGGCCCGTGGGCTCAGATTTCGGTGCACGTTAAAGAACCCCAGGTAGTCGAAATTTCCGGGGCCGTCCACTTCGGCATCTCTCATAATCATATGGTGGTTTTGAGACGTTCAACCCCGCATATCATTATCTGGTACCCTTCCCGTCAAGGGATACTTCATATATAAGGTGGCCAGTTTTTTTAACACAATTTTCCCGCCATCTTTCAGAAGGTATGTTGTTACCTTATCTTCACCATCTATAGATACGCTAATATGTCTGGAGTAATCAAAATAATGCTTCTCGTTTAAAATTGAAGAAACTGGATCATTACCAAATGTGTTTGTTGGTTTGTTGGGGACAGTGCTTTACACTTTTCCAAGCTTCTGCTAATCAAAAATAATGATAAACATTGGGTTGTATACAGTACAGACAATTATATCCATCGGGTAAATATATCTAAACTGTTACTGCTTCGGGATAACAAAACCATATGAAACCAAAGCAGTGCACGCACGCGTCTGCAGCACGGCGCTGTTCCACTGAGCAACAAATTACGGTAATGGTATAACGGTTGCCAGAACCTCAAAACTACGGGGGTGTTTGTTACCATGCAGTTATTTCCTGTAATTGTGATGGTCAGTAAGAAAGAGTAAGAATTTTCGTGCGAAAACGTGAAAAAATTCGCGCAAGAATTATTTCCTGCATGCAGGAGACAGCAGAGTTGTGGTCGCTGCCGGATACCTTGTAGGGCCTCGGGGCGTCCTTCTTGGTCCAGCGCAAGATGATGAGGGCTAGCATGGTGGCACCGTAGAACATCCACGCCGCAAAGCTGAAGAAGTCGATCAGGCTGCCGATATCAGCCAATGACACCATGCAGATGGACAGAGCACACTGCAGCGCACAAAGTGTGTAGCGCAATCATTAACGATTCGCCGGCGCCTGTAGCAGAACGTCCGTACTCACGTTGAGAGCCAGTGCTGGAACAGGGGTGAGTCTCCGTGCGTGCGCGTACGACAAGACTTCAGACAGGTGACCCTCCCGAGCAGCCACAAAACCAATCCTGCGAAGAGAAGGAGTTGACGCCCCGCGAGTGCACGTGGTTGCAACCTTGGCCCGACGCTCAAGTGATGTCCTCCGCGAGCAAGTTATACTCTTACAGAAAACTTCCAGGGGGGGGGGGGGGGGGGTCAGACATTGTTTTTTAAGGCGTCCAATGACGCAGTATTTAAGGGACTCAGGTATTGCCCAATTTTCTGCCATAACGTTTTTCTTAGAAGCGAAGCAGCTCTTTGACTAGCCTGTGTAACGCTGTCTCTCCATCCGCACCACTCCATTCGCCGCAGAGGTTGGAGCGGTGTCAAAAAGCTCACGCCTTCCTAGTAGTGCGCGGTGACGTGCCACTAACTCGCCTGCCACGTGCTCACCCTGTGTAAGCTCTCTCTCTCTCTCACCTCACGTGGGCATCATGTCACCCGCACCACCTCTCTCCATCTGTCGGCAAGAAGAAGCCACGAGCCGGCGAGTGCGCGGGCTGCGCGCGCTACGAGAAACTTGCGGCGCCGACTATGCGGAGAGCGTGCTGCTGCTTGCCGCGCAATCGCGCCGACGGGCAGGACGCCGTCGCGGCATGCTTCCCGCTAGTATGCACGTACCTTTCCCGGCAGTCGCCGGCATAGCGAGAGTTGGGGAACCCGATAGTGTTCGCGAATGGCGACGTCAACACCGAGGCGCGAGCAGGGAAGCTGAACGCAAGCGTCGGCAGTGCAAGACCAGCGAAACTGACGAGGTACGAGTCGAGAACATCGATCGCGTCCGAGAACACAGATGGGGCGCGGGTAACACCGACGAGACGCGAGCCAAGGAAGCCGAGTGTAAGCGTCTTCAACGCGTCCCACCTCCCGTGACTACGTTTCAAACAAACGTGTACTCGAGTAAACATTCCATCGAGTTTCGCTTCAAACCGTTCTTTCAGCGCCCGCGTCAATACCCGTTTCAACCGGATCAACGCCGTGCGCACCACTGCTACTTCACAGCCCATCAGTGTCCCCTTCGGGAAAATTGTCCATATTTTTTTGGAGGGGGGAGGGCATTTAAATAGCTATACTGTACGTATTTTCGTACGTGCGTTTGTATGTATGCGCATATGAATACAGATTTAAAAGTGAAAAATTTTGGGGGAAGGGTTGGAACTACCTTACCACTCTCTGGCTACGCCATTGTCCCGCGTCATTACGAAAGGCCGCTAAATATGAAAAGAACTGTGCGTCTACCTGCTTGCAAGCCGCGATCTCATGGTGTCTTGGTTAAAGGGGGACGTGATGGCGTGAATTTGGAAGTCATTGCTTGCATCCAACTGTCTCGTTACTTTCTCGCCTTCTCAACAGCATTGCACAGCATTGCGCTGTAGATTAAACACATTGTTTGTTCGAGCGCAGTGCGTGTGAAAGCACTGCGACGTCAGTCAGTCACGTGCGTTGGTCTAATATATAGCGGGTTTTATTTAAGACGTGGAAGAAATATCACACAAAAATTAACACTAAAACGCTTCTCCTGAGTCGTGCATTTGCTCAAACTCTACCACTTCCTTATTATGATTCACTTCTATTTTGACTACAGAATTTATTAATCGATCTTGATGAAGTATGAAATAGTAAAGAACGCAACAAATATTGTGATTGGTGTCACAGAATAGCAATCAACACGTATTAGCTCACTTGTTCCTCAGTGAACCCGAACACGTCTAATAGCCTGCGCCTACTTGTAACACTCACCGAACTCTTTGCTCCAATGATGTGTAGAGAGAAAGAATATTTTTTTTAAATTGAGTGTATGTTTCACTAGCGTAGACGTGGAGGGAAGTTGGGGTAATCAGAGTTATCCGTCATTCCCCGGATATGTTTCAACTTTTCAAATTTATATGCACGCAAATATACAAACACATGCACGAAATATGTAAAGTCATTTATTAGACCCGCATCCCGGAAAAAACATTCCGACAAGGCCTCTTACTATGGTGTTCCTATTACCACATCATCGAGTTTGGGAGGTAGCTTTGGCCAGCTCCAACTTCCCGGATCAGCGAAGGCTGGTCGCCAAGGCTCAGGAAGCATTGCTAGCTCAAGACATTCTAAACTATATCGAAGGAACTCGTGTTCTGAGCAGAAACTACAAATATTACCACAAAGAGCACCAAATTTAACATGCGCAGCTTTATCTAGCATCCTGTCGCTGTTCAAATCCTGTGGCGAGAATGTCTTCCACAATATTCTTATCATGCTATACAAACGCAACATCTAACTTAGGCTTGCCAACTCAAATTTCTGCGCTTATATATTGACTATAGGAAACACGGAGGTGCAGGGCGTGTCCCCTATTCACTGCGCTAATTTTAATAGCCTGTATGTAACTCTACGTCTGAGAAGGCCAGTCCTCTAAGACTTACATGCATAGCCATGATCCATGGACGTCTGTCCAGTGACTAGAGAGATTGACGTGTTCAAGGCGATAGTCAATATACAGTCATCAACTTTAAACGTCAATTCCGATCATAGCAAAAATAGGGTACTATGGTCAAATATCTGATACGCTGTTCCCGCCAGAAATAGCAATAGTCGAACACATTAACGCAAACATACTCACATTTTCTGCTTACAGTTCTTACTGAAGTATATGTCTATATTTAAAACCCGAAGACCGTCGTATTTGAGGGCATCTGTCATTAGTTTAATTCTCCTGCAGGGCTTCTAGTCCGAAATCATTATCAAATACGAGAGACACTGAGCAAATTTCGCATTTAGAAGCATAAATCTCGACAGAACGTCAAGCTGTGAAGACTTATGCTCATAAACACGGGGGAAAATGTAATAAAGTCGCTGTTTGTCAATGTCAGCTGAGAGAGACTGCTCAGCTGCTCTCAGCTTTGTCCAGCTTGCAAACGATATGCCACACGCGGTAAGCCACGCCACAGTATGGACTTGAAAACTTCCGTGGAAGCTTAGCGGCTTAGCTGTTAGAATGACTGACGTGTTCCGAGAATGTGGTTTAGATTCTCGGCCCTGGCAGTCGCATTTCGATGAGGGGCGAAATGCGAAAACTCTCAGTGCATCTAGATTTATAGACGAATGTTAGGAACTCCAGGTCATCACAATTAATTTTAAGTACCCTGTTAGTGCGTGACGCAAACTCGGAAGTCAATCGATACGAAAATTTAGTTTGGAGACATCACATTGCCAAAATCCATGAATGCGAAATAACTCAACGAGTGTCAAATTTGATTATGAATGTCGGGACGAGCACGGTCTTGGAGGCTGAAGTTAAATGAAAGTTACGGAAAATAGTTTTCTTGAACTGTCAGATAACAACTTTAACATAAATGGGGCAGCATGGAAAGTCAATCATGACATTTTGACTGTTCATGAGGTCGGTGGTTTCAGTTGCGTTCGTGCCATGTGAAGCTGCGACTACTTTTGTACGAGCGAGACACAACATGCAGCGCCGGCGGTGTCGTACTACATCAAACGACTCACCTGGCCGTGGTGAATGTGGTCCCATTGCCAGAGCCGAACGTGGAGGCGGCAACGAAGAGTGAGATGAGCACTGCCGCTGGCCCCAGCACGTGATTGCCGAACCGCTGCACGGCAGATACACGGCGCGTGTGTCAAGGACTAACTTCTCGTGTGAACGCGTGGACCAAACTCTTTGAGCACACAGCCGTACAGATGGCAGTGAAACTAGATAGTATTTCATCCTCCTATACACAACCTTGGAGTACTGTTTTACGAGAATATCACCATGTGCTACCGAACCAGATCTGACCACGCCGATATGACAGGAAACTGAACCAAGCAGACTTGCGTTTAAAGTTAATGCTTGCAATTTCTGTACGCGGTGTACACAAGAAAAGCGTGAACAGTAAAAACACGGTGATTGGGATTTCTCGACATGAGAACTGTTTTACAATTTGCAGTTGCTGCGGTTATACACGACATGTGACAGAAGTTAATTCTAACTTTAGCATGGATTACTTGCTTACGTTCGATGGCTTTAGATCACATGAAAACGCTTAAATATGAAAACCTCGTATTCAGCACCAACTTGACTCTCATTTGCTCGTAATAAAAAAAAAGTGCGCGTTGCTATATATATACACAGCACAGCCGAAATTTCGCAGATACTCTTAGCGAGTGAATGCAATGAGAAAGTAGAAGTATGGAACATTACATTGACGAACAAGGGTGTAGTATCACACCTAACATGTACGACAAAATTTTATTGCACAGGAAACGAGTTTCTTTTATACTCTAAATGGAGCCTCGATCTATAATGCCAAAACATACCGACAAGTAATCAGCCGGGCAGTAATTTATCTATGGCAGATAATTAACACGTGCACAAAGCAATCCCGTAGATTCTAGTAGATGCCATGACACCCTCGCAGATTGCATAGACAGATTCGCCTCGAGAAATTTCAATTCTTTTTACCCAAGAGTGATAGAAGGAGCACGTAATATTCTATCTCGTTTGTACTAAAGGCTTCGAAAAATGTTCGCGTTCTTTTCTAAGTACCAGATTTTCGCGGCAAACATTTCTCGTTAAAAACGTGGCTGATCCCCTTATATACGAATCGGTATAACACAAAAGTGAGACGTGTTCGTACATCGGTAGTTGAGCGTTTATTGTGCATTGTTTCAGCAACAGCAACCAATTGCAGTTATGTTAGAAACGGCAAGAAGCTCGAAACTTGCAGCACACATCTCGAGCAGAAAGCACGCACGAAATTAGCGTACATAGGACAAGTGCGGACTAACAACTGCCACGGCTTGACACTTAAAGCACGCTACTGAATCAGAAAGAAAGACGCACGAAACGAGCGCACAAGTCTATACACAGGACAAGCGCGAACAAGTCACAATTCTTTTTGCGTCGTGTGTCAACAGCACGCTCCATTCGTAAACGAGATCGTGGCAGCGTGCGAAGTGACCTTCGTCCTCTCCCGAATAACGAGTCTGGTGAGCGCGTGCACAAAGAGACCACGCTCCGTGGAGGCGACGACCTTTAGAGCACGCCCAACGAGAGCCCATCGTGACATCCCGCTACTGATAACAAAAACGCGCGAAAATTTCGAATCTTCTGCCAAACGATTTTGATTTTGAATCTTCTGCCAAATATAAATGGCTTGTTTTTAGCATTACACATAACGTACGCATAACGGTCGTTTGTGGCGTAGTGGTTAGCGCCGTGCGCTAAGGAGCGACAGGTTAATTGTTCGAATATGCAGGATAGATGCTTGCCTTCTCTCTTTTTTTTTTTTTGCAATCGTTTAGTGCATAATCTTAGACGTCATTTCCGCGACGAAACTATGTCAGCGGAGCCGTGTTGGACCACGGCCTAAAACACTTTCTCGTTAAAAAAAAGAGCTTCGTGCTTGCTTGCATATATATGTGCAGTGGCGTGTGTGAATGTGGCCAGAAAAATGACCGGTGCCTGATATTCATGTCTCCTTCCTGCGATTCTCTAGCAAACGCTCATTCACACAGCGTCAAGACTGCAGCCAGTGCAAGACAGACGAGGGGTGAGCTATACACAGTACCATCGTCATATTCCACCTGGTGGTTTGTGCGCTTCACGTTGCCAGCAGGTCTTGTCTTGGCCGCATCGACGTGGCGGCACATATGCACCAGCTTCTCGAAGCTGAGCGCTCTATACGCACACCCCACATCTGTCTTCGACTCCTTTTAGTCGCTATGAAACCTGGTGTGTTGCTACAGGTCGTTTTAACAAGAACGTGTTTTGCTCAAGCCTACCCGATACAGCCCTTATGCTGGCAGTACAAGGCAAGAAAAACAAATTCTTCGTTATTATTCGGCGCTATCGAAGATAATATAAAAAGCCAAAGCGAAAAATTGCAGCCGCTCTACTCTACATGGACAGGCTTCTTCTAATGCATGTTCTTGACTGTTCACCAGTATCATGTTCCATGGTGATAACCAGAACCAAATAGACAAGCTGTCTACGCTTGAGTAAGATTATGTCTGTCACTATGCTGCAGCACTGTCTACAATATTGTTTTATGGCTCTTTTCTCGCCCTCGCCAAACGTCATTTGTGTAGCAGCGAAAACACAAAGCTCTGCGTCGTAGTCGGAGGTGTCCCACACGTGCAGCCGAGAAGCGTCACCACGTGCACGCCAGGCACAATGCCCCTTTGTTTACGCTGTTCTGCGTCGTGCGACGCTCCTACACCGCGAGTGTTGCTATACCACGTTCGCTTAAGCGGAACGCCTGCGTGGCACCAGCATACACCTGTTATTGTGATCGCCAGCAAAACAGGGACCACTGCTTATTCGCTTATGCATCTGTGTTCGCGTGGACCGGTTATGATGATTAAGGAAGGGGTTAAGTGAAACAAAGATGGTCGCGAAAGTAGCCGGTGCCGTGTGACGCCACGGTTGCGTTGAAGCGAGCTTAGTGTACCGGTTCGACGTGCGTAACATCTGCATTTAGCGAGGCGCATCCGCATCACGCGCCATGTATACACCGCGATGAGCTTACATACTTTTTTCGCAAGTGTCTTCTCGCTCTATACAAATTTACCCATAAATATACTGTATATTGCCCGAAACCACTGTAACAGGACGTTAGATATAGTGGTTGACGGTATAAAAACGCGAATAATACATGGGGGTTTGTGTTGTAACAACTTGTCCAAGTTTCTGTTTTTTACAGGACCATTGGTGTGACTGTAAATCTGGATTTCGAATTAGCTCCGGGTCTTGAACTTATAGGCCCAGATTACGAAGGCTGTTTCTTTTATACAATACAGATTTGTACAAAAGTGTTAGGAGAGTCAGGCCTCTCTCATCTCTTCAAGTGAACTTTACGCCGACGAGGAAGAACTGTGCCGCACCTAAAGTTACAGTAAAATGAGTAACTGACAAAAACTGGCATAAGTTGACGTATTATTTATTAGCATGAGGGCATACCTGTGTATACAGAAAATGTATGGCGTACCCATTCTTTAACCGCCTTCCCCCCCCCCCCCCCCAGACGCACTCAAAAACGTGTAGTTAGACATAGTCGAAATTCCAGGCTCCGAAACCGAGCGCGTCGGGCGCGCAGGAAATGCGGCATCTGTGCCCCGTCAGACCGGAAGCTCGAGCGAAGAACTTTGAAATAAAGGCGCGTAGCAACAGAATATGGCAAGGAAAGAACAGCAAGTCGTCACAAACGCCCGATCGAACCGCTTATCCTTTACATTTAGTGTGTACGTCAGACGGGACGCTTACGTGACGAACTTTGAATAAAAAAGGGGGGAGACGTCCTTGGTCTTTCCTTCGTGTAGACAAATTAAAGTCGAACAACAACCTGTCACAAACCTTGCAAGAATGTCCCAACTTCAGAGCCAGAACTAACGTGAAAAGCTGGCTGTGGCATTCCCTGTGTAAAAAATGGGGCCCTTCGTCCCTCGTAATCGGCTTGCGCAGCGGGCAAACTCGGCGCGGTGGCGGCACAGACTGTCTCCGTCGGTGGACGCATCTGATATGCGAAAGTGCGGAGGGTTTTCTGCAGACACCCGACGTTTTACGTCGAGTTTAAAGGAGCACGGACACCAAAATCTTGCATATTGTTTTTTTTTCTGTTGCTATAGGTAGCTAAAACCCACTTATTGCGGCTGGAAAGCCAGTTTGCTTAAGCACGCAACGGTTAATTATTTTAAGATGGTTCTATGTCTCCCAAACGAAGTTACGCGGTTTCAAAGAGCGTCGAGTGCGGCGGGACCCAGAGTGTTTTTCCTGTCAGACTTCTGCATAACATTTTCAGATTTCAGACTAACATCTTCAGCGTATAAGATGTTACGTAAAAATTTGATTTCTCCTGTCTCCAAATTAAGTGTAATTTCTACTGAAAATCACTTCGAAACAAGCATATTTAGTAGAATCATATCGAGTGTTTAACGTCCCAAAGCGAAGATATAATTATGAGAGATGCCGTTGTGGATGGCTCCGAAAATTTCAACCATCTGGGGTTCTGTGACATGCACCTGAATCTCAGCTCATGGGCCTCCAGCATTTACACCTTCATCGAAAATGTGGCTGCCGTGCACGGGATACAGTCCCGTGACCTTCGAGTGAGCAGTCGAGCACCATAGCCACTAGACCGCCATGACGGGCCAGGTGAATCGAGTTACGCATATGATCGGTACAAGAGCCACACCAGGGCGTCTCAAACGACAAGCAGTGCACTCGCTCGCATGCATGAGTCGACTCACTCGAACTCAAATCAATCCGTGAGTCTGAGCGAGCTCGGTTGAAGAAAATTATGGTGAGTTTGAGTGAGCCCGAAGCGCCAAATATACTTCGAGAGAGAGTGAGCTCGAGAACTTTTTCCGACCTATGCTCACATGTAGGGTGAATTCATTGCGTGTTTTTTTTTTTATTCTGTTACTTTTTGCGAGTTAGATAACACGTTTCAAGAAGCAAACAAAATAGAGCATACCACAGCGACGGCTTCAGAGGCGAGCAGTTCGGTGGCAGACATGACGCTCATGTAGGACACGTTGATGAGGACGTAGCACAGAGTCACCAAGGGAATGCCGATCAGTATGGAGCGAGGCAGGTTGCTGCAAACCACGCAAGGCGAATGCAATTAATGTCAACTATACACTGCATCGTTTGCGCACTTCAACGGTTATATTTTACCCTCCTTTCACCAATACATATCAATTTTCAAAGAAGCTCACAAAAGGTAAACCCTTTTAGCACTTACACGTATGGGTTGATCAACTCTTCCGTGATGTAGTTCAAGTTATTCCTGGAACATCAAAATAGCGACATCAGTGGTAAAGTCTTTCTTTTCGTTCTTGTAAAGCCGTCGTATACTTGATTCAGTTTCCTGTTTTACTTCCTACCGGTGCGTCTCACTTCACATTATGCGTCAGCGGTTTCTACTCAAGCGTCGCCGATGTGAGCATGCACAAAAGCCTAGCGCCTAAGCCTACCACTAAATGGCCAAAACTGTCCAGACCATCCGTCGTAAGCCCACAGTCCGGAGTAAAATGCAGTGGCAATGTCAGACACCGAGGAGGTAGTCCCTTGAAAACCAGTGGCCAGGTACTGCGTGTGGCCTGCACAATGGGAAGAAGTGGAAAAATCAGGAGTTGCATTTGCGGCAACTGCGAGACAGACTGTGCCACCGATCTGGGCTTAATATGTATTATTAGGCAAGGAAGGTGCACCGCTGCCATTTGTTAACGCGCTCCCACCATCTCACCTCTACATTTTATCTGTGACGTAATAGGTCATTATATATTTTCCAGAGATGAAATATTTGCGAACAGGCATTGAACTCATGATATTCGCGTAATTCTAAACCGCGCAAACAAAATATTGTTTCGTCAACTTCTAGCATTTACAATTGTACGAAGGAACAGACAACGAAGCTCAATAGAATACAAATAATTATGTTTAATTGAAATGCAGGGCTTATATAACATCATAGAATTCTGAAGTGGACAGGAATATAACGTCATAATATTGGGTGGAGCGCATGGTCGTCCCGCAAAACGATTTCTCTGTTCTCCCACACACATTCTGATTACACATACATACCCAGAGCTAAACGAAGAAGAAACATTTTGTGGAACTCTACCACTAAGTCTGAGCTGTGTCATTCGCTTTATCGTGCGTTGAGCAGTAGCTATGCAGATTGCATATGATTGCAGAGACCGAAATCACCAATACTTCTGTTCATAAATACTCTTTGTCGTTATCCTTTGCAGTTGGTCTGCGTTCAACATCGCATGTTCCATTTAAAGACTCAGCGACAGAAAAGTTTTCAGTCAAGCTTTTGTGTTATGTAAGTGAACGTTGTGCTTCAGCTAAAAAAAAAGAATGCCTGGCTTTACGTCACGGTTTGTGTGATTTATACTTAATGACTTTATTAACTTGATGTGCGATTTCATGTGAGTATTTTTGAGGCACGCAGTTGCCTTTATTACATTGAATTTTCAGTGTAAAGACGTGGTTAATAATAATAATAATAATAATAATAATAATAATAATAATAATAATAATAATAATAATAATAATAATAATAATAATAATAATAATAATAATAATAGTTTTTTATTTACTTCCTGCACAAAAGCCATGGTGTCAATCATTAGTCTGTTCGTTGTCAAAGAAGCAACCATAGTTTTTGTTACCCATGTATCCACATCGCTGTAACCGGCTCTGCCGGGCCTAGTCGCAAAAGTCTTTGGAACTTAGACAGGCCCGTTTCTTTGTATCACTTGTGGATGTGTACAATAAAGTATTATTATTATTATTATTATTATTATTATTATTATTATTATTATTATTATTATTATTATTATTATTATTATTATTATTATTATTATTATTATTATTATTATTATTATTCACGTTGTAGTGATAAAATCGAAGCTAATTTTCAACCTCCAGGGATTACATTCCTTCACATGCACCTGAAACTAACAATCCGGTGTGTTTTTGCAATTGGTCTTCATCGAAATGCGGATACTTTGGTAAAGGTGTGAATTCGCAGCGGTGCGGTACTCGACTGCAAAATTGAATCCCAGCATCGGCAGCCGCAATTCGATCAAGGCGAAGTGCTTGAGTCTCATATTTGCTTAGCTTTAGAGTGCATGTTAAGGAACCTCAGCTGATGAAAACTTCCGAAGCACCCTCCACTAAGGTGTCCCTCATATATATATCATGGTTTTTAGAACGCAAAACCAAAACAGTTGCACTTATTAAAACGGAAAATATGTGTTTGAGCTTTTTAAAGGTACGAATGTGTCCTAACAGTCACACAGTAAATGCTTCGCTCCTGCGTGAAAACGGACTACGACACCTTTTTTCGCACTGATAGTTTCCCTTTTCATGCTCTTTCGTGGCATAGCGTAACAGTCTCTTGCAAAGTAACCAAGGTCGAGATGGCAACGCCAATCGTAGCTAGTATTTAAAAATCCCCAAGAGGAAGACTGGGACTGTTCACACACACACACACACACACACACACACACACACACACACACACACACACACACACACACACACATATATATATATATATATATATATATATATATATATATATATATATATATATATATATATATATATATATATATATATATAATTTAGGTTGTATACGAGGGACTATTAATCAGCTGCCCGCTCGTAATAAGTTCACGTGCTACGTGACGCCAAACATGCGCATAAAGGAGTGGTTCACACTCGTCGCTTGGCTTATAGATGGCGCTCACTGTCACTCCTACTTCTAAATGCACATATAAACCCCAAAACAGTGGATGCAGGGAAGGCCACTGTGGCAGTGGTTAGAGCATCGAACGCGTTATTCGAAGGTCGTAGGTTCGATTCCTGCTCATGGCTGGTTATTTTTTCATCCACTTTTCTTTCTTCTTATTTACACTCCATTGGTTCTAATAACTTCTCCTGTACATTCCTTGGCATTACTGTCTGTTAGATCTCATTAATATTGTGTCAAAACACGGAAAAACGAGCCCTTAGGTATACAATTCTTTCCCTTATTATATATATATATATATATATATATATATATATATATATATATATATATATATATATATATATATATATATATAATATATATATATATATATATATATATATATATATGCACAACACGTACCTTTGGCTATCATGACTACGCCAGCGATGATGATGACAGCCACGGCCACGAGCTTAGTGACGGTGAAGATGTTCTGTATGCGAGTTGCCAGTTTCACACTGAAGCAGTTGACGAACGTCACCAGGCCTGCACGGTAGCATACAGCATATGCAAGGGTTATATTGCACGCTATAGTTTCCCATAGTCAGATGCCTGCATTAGCGCTTAGCCCACAGACACAAAGCAAGCCGAAGCACCACTCAGTGCTAAGTCAGTTTGAAATTAGGGGTTATGGCTATTCCAGCAGCTACCTCTTCAACGATACAAGTGCTTTGAAAGCTTTGGCGCTAAGTTAACTCGCTTCGGTCCGCAGGGACCTTATATGTATTATAAACCAAGGTACACACGGCTGCTTCATGATCAAATGTACTCCTTCCCCCTATGGGCTTTGCAAGGTAGCCTCTGGAACATGCGCTCGAATCGTGGTACCAGCTGCTCGTGTTAATATGACCTTGCGAAGAATCGAAGCTTCAGGTGGTGTTTAGCTAGCCCCGCGCTCTCCAAAAGTTAATGCTAATAACGTACAAAATGTTCTCCAGTTCGCACATTTTCCAAAAACAAACAATTCAAATGCCTCAGGGTGCAAAATACCGTCACAAAAAACCATGACAGGGACCCGCAGGTGCGATACGTGGACGCAGCCAAATATCCGGGACGTAACGCCTTCGCGATTACCGTCGCAGACTACAAGGACGCGGTACTGTCATCGGCGACTATCCTCACCAAACGTGTGGAAACAGCTGAAGAGACTGCTATAGCACTCACCACTCATACGAGTAAGGATCCCATCATAGTCTTTGCCGACTCACTAACAGCAGCACGGAACTACCTGAAAGGCAGGGTCTCCACGGTGGCGATTAGGCTACTAAAGCGCATGGACAATCCTCCTTCCTACACATGCATCGTATTTATTCCGGGTCATGAAGGTCTCGAGGGAAATGAAGCGGCACACACCGCAGCCCGCGAATGCGTCAACCGGGCATTGCCTTACGAGATCCGAGGCACCTCCGACTCAACAACAGAATCAGCGGCAAGAGAACCCGTACCACAAACGTATCATGAATTGCTGCAACATTATTGGCTCGAACGCAGGTCATACTCTCCGTCACATCCAAAACTCACAAGAGACGAAGGCACTGACTACAGGCGTCTACAAAGCAACACGTTCACCCACGGCGTACTATTGCACCATATGAGGCCAACGTTGCACAGCTACATCTGTTCTCACTGCAATGTGGCAGACACTCTGGCGCACCTCCTACTGCAATGCAAAGCAAGTGTCCCAAGACTACAAGAAGCAGCACCAGATGCGGACCAAGACCTCCTAAGTGAAGCGTGGGAGGCTGTGATCTCTTAGCCGGACCTGGTCGAGCAGCATCAACTCGTCGCTCTAGCCCGGCGGGCTGTCCAAGCCAGAGGGTTCCTGGAATGAGGGACCCTCCCACCTTCACTCACAAGCTTCATTCAATGTTTTTTCTCTCTCTCCTCAGGGTGCAGCATTGAACAAGGATGTACTCAGTGAAGTCGACTTAATTGTATACACAACGAATAATAAGAAAATAATAGTGGAGTGTCTGTGAGGGCGCCTCCGTGTTTGTAGTGGGCGGCCTGCGCGAGCGAGAAGTAATAGGGAACTAAGCCGGTGGAGTCGAGGCCATGCGGCCCAACATATGAAACCAATGCAGCAGAAATAAAATGAATAATTCAATCATTCAAACGTTTGTGCTAAAGGTTTCCGCTCTAATCACTCGTCTTCAGAAGATGATAGACTTGATTCCATGATAACAGTGTAGCATTCTTTTATTTAAGTCCGTTGGGCTCTCTTCCTATGAGGAGCTGCCGCACTTTTCAGAGTAAGCGAAGATAAGAAAAAATGGCACTGGCTTAGCTCAGCTATGCCAGCATATATACGTAGCCTTAGCAAAGGTTCAGCTGATTATTCTTAGCTTTCCAGATATCATGCTTACAGCTGTTCCAATGACACACACACACGGTATACGTATTATGCGGCACATGTATATTTTGCCGGGTAACTACTTCGGGATCCGAGGAGTTAAGCTTCTCCGCTCTACTGCAACCGTTGAGCAGCAGTTGCACTCTCCTTCTCCATGGCTATACCCAGTGGCAACGCCAGTCAGAGGCGCTATCCAAGCGGCTCCAGCGCAGTAGTCAATGGCCGACTGCACAGGGAAGGCGCGCGCGTCGGCGTCCATATATCTACAGAGGCTATGACGGCACTCCTCTGGAAAGCGCACACCGGCGGCGGCGAGTCGCGCGCGGCCGAGTGCGAGGGAGGTGCCGGCTCCCGTGCGTGACACCACTGATCGTCTTCGCAGCGCATCGAATTGCGCGCACACCGGCGGCGAGCTGCGCGCGGCGGCGGCGGAGTATCATTGCGCGTGCGGAGAACAGTGCCACGCGAAATTGGCTTAGCGAGGCCAGTGTAGCTAACGCTACAAAATAACCGAAGGGATGCAGCACGTCGCCATCCGTGCGCTCCTGCGCTACGAAGCACACAGATTATTAGCCTTGCAGCCTGCATATTAGGAGCGCAGCAGCGAAAAACGTGTGATTTGGACAACCAATGGTGTGTCGCCTCCCCTTCTGAATGAATGAATGAATGAATGAATGAATGAATGAATGAATGAATGAAGAAAAGGAAAAGCAGAGCTTGCAGGAGCACGGTCAGCGCCTAGAGGGGGGGGGGGGGTAGTGGAGAAAAGAGTCTTGAAATAGGCAGGAGGAGAAGTTTTAAAGAATGATTGGTAGAGTAGAAGCCGGATAGGGGCCGGTGGCAGGGCAGTCAGAGTCGTAAGATTTGGAAGTGTGGGGCTGCAGGGGACATCAAGTCATCCTACAGCTTGGATGATAGCCCCGTGGAATTCAAGTATTCCTCGTCCAAGCAATTGGCTGAAACCCCCTCGCAACATGAACAACGTCGTCCCTCGTCAGAGCTTTTGCTCGATCCTGCTGCGATCTTTTGCATGAAGCCCCTGCAAAAGCTTTATGATTACAGATCGGTCACCTGCCAGCGCAACGTAAGCGAGCAGCTGCATCCACGACAACGAACGAGGACCAGACGAATACGCGTGATGCGACGGAAACACCTGCATGCGCAGCCCAACACGTTTCATAAATGCGTTTGTGCAAACTGCTATACTGCTCCGCGGCTAACGTTGGCATTATTCTCAGCAATGACAGTGTGTGTGTGTGTGTGTGTGTGTGTGTGTGTGTGTGTGTGTGTGTGTGTGTGTGTGTGTGTGTGTGTGTGTGTGTGTGTGTGTGTGTGTGTGTGTGTGTGTGTTTTACAAATATACAAAAACATCCGAATCCTGAACAGGACGGTTGAAAATGAGTTTTGTTGGCATACATTATCATTGAAGAAAGGGGTTAGTTGAACAAGGGCACAAAAGGCAGACGCAGGGTTCCACAGTGGAAGTAGTGCGTGCGTCTTCGTCTTGTGCTCTTGTTCAACCAGCGCTACGTCCGTCTATTCAAATCCTATTGAGGTGCATTGGGTAGACCGCAGTATGTGGTATGCAAATTAATTGTTCGTGTCTTTAAAAAGTAAACAGACGTTCACGCCCATGAAGCACAGCAAGATGGCTTTCCCTATAGACTCTGCAAAGGTGCAGGAGCATGTCGAGAGCGTGGTGTTCTCACAGATGCATCCAGCGGCGACCATCTTGGTAGGCACGGGAGGCGTGTCTCCGCACTCGGGGAAGGCTGGCTGCACGAGGTACTTAGCGAAGCTGAGCGCCATGATTCCCAGGCCAGCCGGTTTGAGCAGCAGCACGGTGGTCCAGGCATGCAGGAAGGCCGGCACGGGCTTTATCCCACCGCGCGCAGGAGGATCGCCCGCAAATGCCGTCAGGATGTAGATGAAGTCGCCGCCGGACTTATGGATCATGGTGCCCAGCTCGGCCAGCGACAGCGCACCTGTTACCGCACAACGCTTTTTCATCAATCATGAACTCTATACAGATGCAGCTTCATACATACCGGTGTTCTTTCTCTAAAGCAAGCCAAAAAGTAAAACAAAAAACCAATAACTAATAGCAAAAACGTGATTAATGAAAAACTTATTCATCAGCAATGGCTGAAATCGGAAAAGAAACTGTCTTATAATTTTACTGCCAGTCTTACTGAGACACGTTAATCAACTCACCCAGTGTATTTATATGAGTATTGATGACAATCCAGAATTTATAGATAGTGAGTTTTGAAATCACGCAAAAGTCATGCGCAGGCATCACGGGAATGCTTGAGCGAAAGAAGAAAATTCATCAAGGGCTCCTTTTCTCAGACAGGTCCTATTGCCACCAACGTGCACTTTTTTTACACTACTCTGAGAAACTGAAATCGGGCGTTTGAGGAAGGCAGGAAATCACTTTTTCGATTTTCACCCGTTTGCATGCGTAACAGCGCGCTTTCAATTCACAAACGAGTATGCGTCACGACAGTTCCCTTCCAGGCTACCTCAATGTTGCTAGATGGCACGCGATCACTCCGCTACAAAATGTGGTTTCGATTCGGAAATGATGGGAAATGTTCTGGAGGGCTGACACACAAGGGGAGCCAGTCGTACGCCTTAAATAGCACGTCGAAACAACAACAGCGACAAAGATGCATCGGTTACGCAGACCGGGGACAATTCATTATCAGGGGACGGCTCTGCACGCCCCACGATAAGCGTTGTTGGTGTCATTAAATACAGCAGCGTGGTCATCTCTGCAGTGTCTACAAGCTTTCCATTACCAGTAGCTGCGTACTGAACTACTTAAATTGAATGATCAGCGTGTTGAGTTGGCTCAGAAAATTTATACATTCGGCTCGGTTTCGACGTCTGGTGTTCCTGATAACAAACATTGCAGCCTACTAAAGTTCACGTTGGTATTGCGTGTAGTGCGTGCAGCTCGTCCTTCCCTCCGCATCCTTCGGATAACGTCCATTCACAAGATGCGAGGGATGTGACATTATTATTATTATTATTATTATTATTATTATTATTATTATTATTATTATTATTATTATTATTATTATTATTATTATTATTATTATTATTATTATTATTATTATTATTATCATTATTATTATATTAACGCCACAAAAGATTTAGAGTGACGCCCTAAGCAGGAAAAGCAAGGGGATGAAAACTGGCACTGCGCTATTAAGGGAGAGAAAGCTAGGAGGACAGAGGTTATGCGAGAGAGGGCACTCACCGAAGAGGGAGAGGATGCCGCAGCCGGCCCACACGATCAGGCTGAGCGCTACGGAGCCGGACCGCTCGAGAACGCCCTTTGGTGAGACGAAGATGCCAGAACCTGCAAGGTGCCCGAACGAACAACAGCTCGTCAAATGCGTTAAGAGACATTCAAGCTTCGTCCTCAAGAGTTGGACTCGATAGCGACATTTTTAGCCACTTAGTGCACACTTTTTATTGTATGACGTTACTCAAGAAGTTTAAATTATGGATTACTACATTGTAGTCTTATGAGTTGAAAGTGGCTTGTGTCAGTGAAGCTTTCGCATACCGCTGCACTTTGTGTCATGGGTAGAGCGCACTTTAAAACATGAGCAATTATGCGTCTTTTCGAACTTGCTATGCACCCACTATGTGGACTTAAGAGAATACGCGCAGTAACCTGTGGGCCTTTTGTAATGGGTGGCCGGCATTAAACCACGAAGACTTACTTGGTTTCATAATCACATGTTCTGACGGTCGATGGCAATGTACGTTTGTACCACTCAATATTAATGCCGCATTACTTGAAGGAAAGTGTAAGTGTGAGGGCTCGTTTGGTTTGTTAGACACATTATTAATGATAACTAAGAGATATTAGCCCCAGGTAAAGTATAGGGAATGAGATTAGAAGTAATTTTAATGCAAATCGGGAAAAAAAAAGATAAAGTGGACGATAGGATAACTTGCCACTGGCCGGATCCCAGCCTGTAACCTTCGAGTAACGGGTTTGGTGCTCCACCACTGAGCTACGGTGGTGGTCAACTCCCGGTATACTTTATGGGATATATGTGTGGCGTTAAACGTGGGAGCGTCAGTCAGCGCCATCTGTTGCCACATGGGGCATTAATTGTTGTATTGTCAAGCCTGTATACAGTACGCATGTATTTGTAAAGCATGAAAGTAATTTTTACTGCATTTCCATGCAATGGAGGTCACATTACTTGTATTTATAAGCCTCGCCACGCAAACGACCTGGGTTCCATCCTCATTACCATCCAGAAATTCTCATTATTTATTTTATTTCCTTCTTTCTCCATTTTTCGGTCACGCACGAGATGATTTTTCGCTCACAACCAACGGCGCCGAAATTGACGCCAACGCTGCGGGCAATTTCCGCGAAACGAGCTCGTTATCGCGTTTAAAAAGTCCCGACTCACCATTCAAGCACTGGTAGCGTTTGTGGCTCGGCACCTCGTGTACACGCACGTCGACGGCCTATGGGTGAGCGTGAGATTATACGGCACTCCGAAGCCGTAAAATAAAATATCTTCAGCCGGCCGCGTGGAGAGTCGCTTTCTTTCTGTACTCCTCGTGCGCGCCCGTGACAGCTTTCAAGAGCTAAGCTGATGAAAACCACTGCTGAGGCGGGTGCTCTTTATGAAGGTCCATGAAGCGAAAAATCCGGGATTAACATCCGATGAAACGAAAAAGCCACGTGACCAAGAAGTGGTGACGACATGATCGCACCATGTCATTACACACTGTGTAACGACGTCCGGACGCCAAACGTTACGTTTCGCGATGCGCCGTTCGATGCCTCTCGAATGAGGATTCGCACTTCCCGCTTCTTCGTAAGAGATCAACCCGCATTTTCCCACGAGGACGCTGTCACCATACGAAAAGAAAAAGAAGAAACGGACAAGCTAGCGTAAAAAAAGTGAACCCTACTTTTTTCGGAGACAGGATACTCAGATCCAGAAATAACGGATGCATGGGCGGCTATTTCTCTGATATTGCTGCGGACCAAGAGATTTGTCTCTGGAATTCTGGTGGAAAAGTTTATCACTACACTGTTTTCAATTACTTGGAAGTCGGCAGCTTTTTTGTCATGTCACCAGCGTTTCTTTAACGAGGTACTACCGCGTTTTTAATATGCTGAATGTATTGAATATGCTGTCAAACTGACGAACTTCCACTTGCTCCATTGCAAAGGTAAGTCGGCATGCCTGTATGACTGACAGGAAGCGGCTGTTCCTATTAAACTTTAAGTCATACGTGCATGTATGCACTGAAATCTCGCCAAGAAGCGTTCATGTCATGCAAAAATCACAGCATACCCACGAAACAAATGATGACGAGTGGGCGACGCGTACATATTCTCCACTCTATCATGCAAAGACATGGAAACACGTGTGTACAGTATGTACAAAGTTGTTTATTAATCCAAATGTGCATATGATATTGAGGTGGTCATATAGATACCATATTCATGTCCGTATGGATATAGATATTCGTGGCGTATCACGCCCACGGCAGGGGATATGGCTCAATTGACTTAAAAGAGCTTCGCCCGTAAAAAAACACTCTATCACAAAATGGTGATAGTAACACAAGCACAATTATTATTATTATTATTATTATTGTTGTTGTTGTTGTTGTTGTTGTTGTAGTTGTTGTTGTTGTGCTGGTGGTGGTGTACCGAAAATTCGTTTTGCAAGAGCTATAGACCCTATCACTGCTTAAAAACACAGCCCCTTGATGACAGCCTGTTTTGTCCACCGATTTGCCTTAATAGCATCGGTGGGCAATAAGAGCTTTAGAAACTGACCCGCCGATTTTCTACACTTTCTTTCCTTTATTAGACAAAATATATTCAAACAAGTTTCCTTTTGAGCTACATAAAAATCATTGATCCATCACCGTATCTATCTTTCCTATCAACTAGGCAGACCCGACATCACCATCCCAATCGGCTTACCCCATATTTCGCGAGAACTGATGTCTTTATGTATTCTTTCTTTCCACGGACAGTGTCTGATTGGAACAAATTATGTGATCCCCATTCATTGTGAATTAAGTAGAGTGAACTGCGTTATGTATGGTGCATGTTATTCCTGTTTCTGCATGTGATGTGCCCTTCCTGCTTGGACCATTTATGGTTCACAGTATGTACTAGATAAATAAATAAATAAATAAATAAATAAATAAATAAATAAATAATGAAAGATCTTGAACTTTACGTACGTTCCCTTTATCTGAAAAAAAAAAACACTAAAGGGAGACATATTTTTACATTTAAAAGGAACTTGAAAGCACGCTCTCAATTTTAACGTTAGGAGCTCATAAATGAGGAGACCAGAAGTTTTGTGGGGCACAACGGTCGCAACCTTGAAACCGTCTATTCCGCTAATACCAGGGGTGCCATCATGTCCCCTCTCTGCATTACGTTGTACGGCTGCGCATAGCTCGGTTTTTCAGAGCATCCGGCAGAACCAGCGTAAGTGCCGGGTTCGGCATCTACAGCGATAAGGTGCTTCAAAGGAGTGTCCGCAAGGGCCGTGTACCACACAAGGCACACGTTATCTGATTCGAAAGTGCGCGCTCGCTCTTGAGATGCCTCTCGAGTTGAGCTTCACAACGCATCCTTCTCGGCGACAGATTCGAGAGAAAGCATGTGCACTTTGCGACTCTATACAAGAAAGCGAAAGATGATGTCCACGTGGCTTTGCGTAACATGAAGTACGTCGGTACGGGCAGCCTACACTTGCCCACACGTGTGTGCGTGCGTGCGTGCGTGTGTGTTGTAGTTTTCGGGTGGTGCGGTGGACCTTTATTTAGTAATAACGACATTCCGGCGAAATTTTCATTGCGAACTTCGAGTAAAGAATCGCTGGAACGTCACCAAACAGTTGTCAAATATGTAAACAGATTTTTATTGTGTCATTGTACTGTAACAGGAATTGCGATGAGCTAACCCGACATACCACATACGTGATACTTTGACCAAGTCAAGTTAATTAACCAATTAAAAAGATTAGGGCTGGTTTTACGACTGTCGAATGGTAGAGCACGTGCGTAGCACGCACACGAAACCCTTGTTTCGCAATTCATAATGTTTTAAACACATTAAACGAAAACAGGATTTAAGTTACACTAAGTCAAGTTCGACGATACACGCGTGCCTGTTGCTCTGAGAGTCTGGCTGCGGCGGCTGCATTTCCGATGGAGGCGGAAATGTTGTAGGCCCGTGTGCTTCGATTTGGGTGCACGTTAAAGAACCCCAAGTGGTCGAAATTTCCGGAGCCCTCCACTACGGCGTCTCTCCTAATTATATGGTGCTTTTGGGACGTCAACTCCACAAATCAATCAAATGTTGCTCTGAGAGTGCAGAGTGTCGGGCTTGAAAATGTTTTACGTCCTTAGCCTATAATGCCAAGTCTGTAGGGTAGCTCCCTACTAGTTTCAGATTTCATGAATACAATTTCATACCACAGATACTGCGCCCATAGTCAGTTTAGGACTCGCAATTTGCAATTTACTCGCAATTTACTCGCAATTTGGGTCGTAACTTTGAAATGCGGGCCCCGAAAAACAGCGTTATTCGAAGGTCGTATACATTCGGATCCTGCCAAGTTATCTTTTCGTCCACATTTATTTCTTCTCATTTGCATTAGAATTACTTCCAATAACACGCCCTATACTTTTCTTCGCATGATTATTTGTTAGTCGTGTCTAACAACAACAACAAAAAAAACAAGCACTCAGATTTATTACACGATTTCCTTCAGGGAAAGATCTAGCCATTTCAATTAACATGACTGTTTTGAAACGCGATGTACATTTTTACTCGCAAGCTTTGAGAATCATGAGAGTAAATAATAATTCGAATAATTAACTTATTCAATGAGGAAATTTGTGCTAGAAATGCATCAGTTGTTGCAAGGAGGCTGCCACCGTCGTATCTTTTTGCCCTCTTTTTTTTTTCAGTACCTGGCATTTGTTAGTGTATATCTGCCAATACCCGCAATGCTACTTTCATATTTTGTCCAGATAATGTTAAATTAAAAAAAGCAGAACTATGTATTATACGCATTCGTTTTTTTTTATTGATCACAAGGTCACTCTACTACAGGGCACAATTAAGTGGCTGCACCATCATTCTAGCCATTTTTTTTTTTTTTTTTTTGCGAGACAGCCAGGGAGAGTATGAACACGCATGTTCGGGTGTTTCAGTGAATATTGTGCAGTCAGAAGCAGCGGCCAGAATGTTCGCTCACCGATCATGGTTCCCACAATGAGTGCCACGCCGCTGAGGAGCCCCACACGGCGCTTGAGCTGCACGGCACCCTCCCCCGGGGCCACTTCGTCCTCCGGCCGCGCGCCATTGGCCGCCACGTGTCCGTTGGACTGGTCCAGGGGCGCAGTAGTCGGCTTGTACACTGCATACGCACACTCATCAGGCATGCCTCTCTCAACCATTCGGCAATGACACGAAATAATAAAAACAAAAAAAGACGGTGAGTCGCAGGCGGCACCGTGAAAAAGCAGAATACAATGCTTCCTTCTGCCTCGCTTACGCGTTTTACACTCCTCAGCGCGACATTTTTACATCAGGCTTGTGGTATTCAATCAGCTGTGCGAGCACTCGCTCCCGCGCCTCTTTTGCCCACCTCATTACTGCACGATACATTCGAGGGTTCGTGATAGACAACCGAGTCCCAAAACCTTTATAAAGGTACGTATATCTACAGGTCCAATACTAACAAGAACGCCTACTAATGTAAGGGAGATTTATAGAAGAATAAGAATGGGCTGGCACGGTAGACATTCTCAGCTTATGCCACTTTACTTACCACTGTTTCTAAAAAGTATAAAGTGCATAACCATCAGATTTTGGCATACGAGGCAAAAACTTTGCGGTTCCTGCTGAAGAATAGACGTGAATTAAGGTGCTGAGGCCGAACTCAACGTACTTCTCTTTCCTAAGGGCTTTTCAACATTGGCAGGCTCAATTCTTCATACAATAACACTTCCAGCTTCGGCATTTATTCGCTTACGGATATTTTTATCGTGAGGCGTCTTTGTGAATGTAGGCTGACGTTGAACCTGGTTGCTATAGCAGCACCACCATTAGGGCTGGTTGGTAATGATGGAGCGTGACCTGCGCTTCTCAGAACAAGGATAGTTCCCACGGAAGGGCTGGTTATTGTGGCTTATTTTTGGAGCCTCTGAGACTATTCGTATTTCAAAGCGACGTTTTCTTGCTAAAACATTCAGAAGGGGCCTATATATCTGTCAAGGTGTCAAATAGGGTCTCGTTCTGGCAGACTTGATGCCTTCAGGTGGTATGCTGGGGATTTTCGGTCAGCTGCCAGCTCGTAATAAGATCACGTGCTACATGACGCCAAGCAGGCAGGTGAAGAGTGTCCCACACTCACCTTAATGGCAACGGTCGGCGCTTACTGACTACGTTTTAATGTAGATATATACCCTGAAAAGCGGACAGGGGAATATCCTCCGTGGTAGTTCAGTATTGGACGCGTTCAATTTTCTTTCTTTAGAATTACATTACAATTACTTATAATAACATCGCCTATACTTTCCGTGGCATCATTGTCTGTCAGTTCTCATTAATATTGTGTCTAACAAAGAAAACAAGCCCTTAAATTTACACCTATTCTCTACAATTTAGGAAGGCACTCGACATACAACTGCGACAAAATTTTGTCACAATGCGTTAATATCTGTGTTTATAGTAGTAATTTTTAATTACATTTTAACTGAACATTGATTAATCCTGAACTAATTGATGATCTGTTTTTGCATAAATATAATAAACTCTCAAGCTAGAAATGCGGTACAATGTCGTTTTCGGTTATGTTCATTTCGAACAAAGAAAAATTAAACCTTTGACGTGGCTATCTGAAAACGGCACGCCGAACAATTCATCAAACATGATGCCTTTAGAAAAGTGATTATATGCAACAATACACTGCAAAACTAAGTTAAATTAAGACATATTTATTGCGCAAGAGAGTCAATTCATTCAAAACTCATTGCATAATACTCCTTATAAGCGAACAGTCGACACAACTTGCGAAAAACGCGTGATACGGCGTCTGGAATGGCTAAACTCGAGAACGCAGGTTCGATTACCGAATCGCGGAAGGCACGAGATGCAAAAAACAACCATACCCGTCAAATAACCCAGGCGGAATAAATTAATCCGGAGTGCCCTATCTCGACGTTCCTCGAAAAGCATTGTTGTGATATTTAACGCTCAATTAAATGTCATGAAGTTATGAAACAACTTCACGTGTTGCATCAAGATGCAATAGAATGCATTTAATCGTTAGGTTATGCAGTATCTTGTTGGTAATGTGTTTTAGAAATCATCATACTAAATAACACGGTCACCGATTAAGAGTCGCTTGCAAGGAATGGTTCATGATATAGTTAACACAAAGTTGTTGCAAAGCATACCACTTTACCGCAATATGTCTTTATCAGAGATGTCACCTTAATACTAAATATCAGACAGTTCCGTAATTCAATATATGTGTTGCTCGCCTCCCGCACAACTCATGCGAGATCCAATTTTTTTAGAAGTTTTCGAGTATTGCAAATAAAAAAAAATTGTTTCTACCATTCTTTTCTTCCCTCTACTTATAACCTCCGTGCAGTTTGTTCTCGTCAGTCACATATTTTCGCAGGATACTGAACAGGTAAGCTTTTACGGACTATAAAAGAATATATGAGAAAAAGAAGTGAAAAGGGCGTGGTTGTGACTCATCACAAATAAGTGTATTCTGTTCGAAAGTGCCTGTCACGCTTCTGTATATGTACGAGATATTGCAAACAAATACGAAAAAGAGGCGGAATTCTCGCTCTCCTGTAATAATTAGAAGCAGAATCATGCTCTACAACCATACAACGAGGTATTATTGTCTTCCGTTCACACGCACTCCGAGGCTGGCTGTGTGGCCTTTGCAAAGGGCGTAGTTGGTAGTCTCCCACGGGGCCTCTGACGATCTACACTGGATTGACCGTGCGGAAACGCCCTGAAGAAGCACGGAAACGGGGACGCGTATGAGCAGTTCACGCGTGGATTCCACGGGCGCGCGGGCTTTCACGGACGCATCAAAACTCCCGTGTATACGCGGCAGAAAGGAGCGCGGTCGATCTCGCGCACAGCGCACACGGTAGCGCGCATTCACCGAGAAGCCAAGGGAGACGCGCTCGTTTCTCCCCCTCCGAGAATCCGCCGATCGATTCTTCGATCCGCGCGGACGACAACAAAGAGGGTCGGGCGAAAAGCGGACGGTACGCATGAACGGGAAGCGTGGGTGGCGCGGGAAGGCGCGGCGTTTACTAAATGTATACTCCCACGAGGTGAAGCTCAATTAATGTTAGTGAAAGCTAATAGCCGGAGGGCTCTGCCTATGAAGGAAGATTGAACGTTGTGGTTAGATATTGCATGCGCTACTATTTTGTGCGTTGTTGCACCTGCTCGCTCTGTTTTTAGGGTGCGCGTTGAAGGATGACGCATGCAAAATAGGAGCGTATAAAAGCGCTTGCACCATAGTTGCTTGCCCCCGTTTTCGTCAGTGCATCCCACGATTCAACCCCGAGAACGCGACGTTCAAAAAGATGAACCGAATTTATACTGAGTGCAAAAAAAGAGCTCCACTCTTATGGAAAAGGCGTATTTGTGGTGACTATCACTGTGTGCCACACAGTGATCTCACGTGATTGTTTCCGTTTACTCTCTCGTCGAAAACTGCACGCTCTCTACTTCGCCATCAAGAATGCTCAATCTGAAGGTCACGTCTTCAATCCTGGCTGCGGTGGTGGCAATCTTTCGGAGGGGAAATGCTAGCGGACCGTGTACTCATATCGTGGACGCTATGTTCTGCAGCCAACCATGAGGAACTTATTCTAGAGTCAAAACGAACTTTAGTCGGGTTTTATAAGACAATTAACCTTCTGATAGCGCCAAAATCAGCACTCTTTCAGGCAAGATACTAGAGGGCGTGTACCCATATGTGCAACAAATCGATCCCAGTGTACAGTACAAGAGAGCCAGCCAGTCAGAGAACTGGCTAACCTCCCTGTCCTTTTCTCCTTCAATCCTCCTCCTCCTCCAGTGTCCAGTATACTAGGCATAGTTCTCTCGTGGAAACCGTTGCCCTTACAGCCTTCTTCATTATTTTCTTCGCATGCTTTTCAAGATCATAACAAAGTTTGCTCTGCCCTAGAAAACGTGCCGGTCGAAATCACGAACACGAGACGGAGCACGCCATAAACGGTAATCGGTAGACGATATTCCGCGCCCCGTGTAGTGGTCGGCTTTCGTTTTTATCGTAGCATAGAGAAGCGTTTCATCGCGACTAGTTGCGGTCAATGCGCTCGGCAGCAAGGCCGTGTGTCTCGCCTGTTCTGTGAAGGGTCCCGCTGGCCGATAAGCGCGAAACTCGTTTTGGTGTGAGCAGCTGCAGCGCACTGGATCAACCTATTCAAAACTTGTCGGTTCTCGTGGGCTGTCTTTTTTTTATATCTTTTAGAACCATCAAGATGTAGTACATGTGACAAAATAAAAAGCTAAAACAAAACTGCAATACAAACGCAAAGTAAAGACGGTGTTGGGCTCTTCGAGATTTCAAAACCGGAGGTGCCCTCTGCGGAGAACGACGTGAGCTGCTGGTTTTTGCCTGTTGTATACTGTACGTACGTTAAAGGTACAGGATTGAAACACCGCTGGATTGTTTCTGCGCTTGCTAAAGTGCATGCGCGCGCATGCGGCCAAGCGTCCTAATAAAACGAGAGAAGACGGAGCTTTAAAAAAGGATGGGGAGATTGCACACCGGAACGAAAATCCCGGTTCATACAAGAGCTCTTTGATAGCAATACTGATCAGCAATGGGCAGTGACTAGTTACTAGTAACGCGTCCCTGGTAATAAGCTGCTTTTTTGCAGAAATGTGTAACTGTAACTAGTTACTTTTAGGTTGAAGAAACTTGTAACTGTAACACTTTTACTTTTTCACGCGGTACCTGTAACGGGAAATACTGTTGCAGTTACTTACCGTTACACTTACAGCACATAAAGCTGTAGCATGTGTGGCCTCACTATACGGAATCAGCCTGGTACATTTTATTGGACGTTTCAGAGAATCTAAGCAGCAGCATCTCGGGTATTTTAGAGCTCATCTTTAAAAAATTACGGGGGCGGCACCAGTGGGGGGCACGGGGGGGAAGGGGGGGGGCTTCATTTTCCCCAAAAATTTTGCCTGTCCCTTAGCGCATAAGTTCCGTGCCTTCGTGCGCCCCTGAAAGAACTCACTTGTAGTCGTGCCCGCCGCCTCCTCCCCCCCCCCCCCTCCATTTTACAACCCTGGTGCCACCTCAGTTTAACTATCGAACATCCAGAAAAGAAAAGC